TCTTGATGGAGGGCTATGGCGAGTTCCAAAATTTAATAAAAACGCCAGGGAACACCTCAAAGGCTGCAAAAGCCAGGAGAGAGGGCTGGCAAAAAGTAGCAGACAAATTAAATGCGTAAGTAGTGACGGTGATAGATGTTTCTAATCCGTTATTACAGTATATGTACATTTTTTAAATTTTCATAATTACTTTAATCTTTTATATTAGAGCCACCACAGGACCCACTAGAACTTGGGAACAAGTAAAGGTGAAATACAAGAATATTCTACAAAATGGTAATGTTAACTACATATGTTGTTCTGTCTTTTTTAAAAAGACTGTGAAATGATGTGCTTGTTTATACCAGCAACTAGGAAAAAGGCAGAGCAAAAACAAACAGGTGGTGGTCCTGCATTTATTTATTTATTTATTTTTTTAAAGACCGTGAAATGATGTGCTTGTTTATACCAGCAACTAGGAAAAAGGGAGAGCAAAAACAAACAGGTGGTGGTCCTGCACCCCCACGTCACACGCCGGCAGAAGAGCTGGCCCTTGGATTAAATGCGAACCGACCCAATGTTCAGGGCATCCCTGGGGGCAGCTCTTCCTTGGACCCACAGCCAGGAAGCAGTAGCAGCAGCACCTTCATTACTGGCAAAGAGGCTTTTAATTCTTTTTGTATAGGCTACTGTAAAATAATTGGTAGCTACCTTGCATTTGGTGTAATCCAAATGTCAGCTACACTCATTTCAACTGGTAGATCTTGAGTAGTGCTGAATTGCATTGACATGAAAGGAAGGCAGTTAAACCTACTTTGAGTAAATGAAGAAATGTTGCTATGTTTCTTTTCCTGTGTACCTCATTGTAAAGAAACGTTTTTTTTCTATTTTTGTGCAGTTTTACATAACACACCCACACTTTTACATGTTCCCATGCAAGTGGTGGGTGGCTGAAGTGCAGTAAGTGGACTTGTACATTTTTTTTATTTTATTTTATTTTTCAATAGTGAAATATCAATAGTGAAGACAGTGTATCACTTTGTCATGCCATTTATTTTCATTGCACAGGACAGTGAAGAGACCCTCTCGGATGAGTGTCCTTTGGAGGAAGTACCTGTAAGTGCATAACTACACATAAAAACACACTATATAATACACACTATAAATGTGTATTAACTAAAGTATTTTCTATTTTTGACAGCAATATGAGTTGCAGGAGTCTGCACAGAGGCCTGCAGAGAGGGAGTCTGCACAGAGAAGTGATACAGAGGTGGACAGTGTTGCATATCAGTTTGTCTTTTTTCCAATTTTATTTCTTCTTTTT